CAAAACCCAGCTTATAGATTCTCTCTTTGTAAATATATCAGACCACTTTCCCCTCCCAGAAATCGTTCCCTCTGCATTCTGCTAGGTGGAGAGGAGGAAGCTGCATTTATAGAGTGCCTACAGTGTAAGGGCTTTAAAATGCATTATTTCCTCTAACCCTCAGGCATCCTCCTGAGGTCTACCTGATTCCAAAGGTGAACTCAGAGTGGTCCAGTGACTTGTTTAAGGTCGTGCAGAGGAAGCTCCATAGAGAGGCAGAGTCAGAATCTGAAAGTAGCTCCCAGGGCTCCCCCATGCTGGCCCCTCCCAGGGTCTGAGTCTTCGGCGGCTGAGGAGGTTTGAGTTCCTCTAGGAGGCAGGTGCCTAGACTGCTGGGCTCTGGGCTCTTAGAGAAATCAGCCTGATCCAAAGCCTTCCCTTCAACTAGTGCTTGGTCATGGCCACCAACTCCAGAAGGCCAAACCTATCATAATGGAAGTTGATTATGTGTCCAGTTATAGGCAGAGGAAAGCAAAGTGTGAACTCAGCAGCCAGTATTAAAAAGAAAAATGTAAATCATCCTTGGCTTCCTTTGTTTTAAAATATGAGTGATTATTGTGCAAAGGGTAATTAAATCCTGGAACTTCAGCGGTCATCATGGCCAGCCGAGCCTGGCTTTGGCTGCCTGGCATGCTGTTTCCAGGGAGTGCCCCACTGCCTGCTCTGCTGTCTTTCCAACACTCTTGAGGGCCTGGATCCTTTTGGTTTAGCTTTGGTTTTGCAGAAGTTTCCTCCCATCCTTAGTTCTGCCCTCTGTAGAAGGTGGAGCCCAGCTCCACAGTCTTGTGCATCCACTTGTGGGACCCGTGGTTTTAGGGTTGTGTATTCCTACTCTACCTTTCTCCAGGGAATGGCAGTGTTGGAGACATCTTCCTTTGGTGTCCCCCTCATGAGAGGAAATGGACTTACCCTGAAGCATGGAGGATTTAAATTTGTCTTATGGAGGTACTCACGTGACGCTTGCTTGGACCTCTTTTTGGGTTTTGGTGGGTAGATGGATCGGACTTTCTGTGCTATCACAATTGATGGGGAGTTATCAGCCTTTGTCCACAGATAATTAAATGCATTAAAATCCAGAGAGACCAAAAGGCTGCAGTTTGACTTGTGCCCTCTGAGAACTCAAGCTGAAGGGAGGGAATTGAAAGGTTGGACAACTAGCACACAGTGGTCCCCCAAAGTGTAGGTGCTAGTCCCTGACCTAGCCTCAGGGAAACCTGCTCCCTGGTGTCCCCTTTATTGTTCTTGGAACCATGCGTGAGAGATGGGCTGAAGCAAGAGAGTTCAGACACAGTTAAGAACAGGTTTCCCCATGGAGAGGGTTGGTAGTTACACTTCCTTGGGGAAGAGGAGGGCTGCTCCATTCTTGGCCAGATCTTCTGGGAATCATTCCCTTACCCTTTTATCTCCAGTCTACCAGTCTACTGATGAAAAATAAATGCTCTGTCTTGGTTGTTGGGTTTCTCCCCAGCCCCTCCCAGGGGGCCCAAGAGCCAATTCAAGGCAGGGAGCAAACGCTGCTGAGCACTCCATAGGAACCAGGCTCAGAGCATGAAGGAGGAGACCGCAGTCCCTGGTAGGGGAGGAGGGCACAGAGGGCCTTAATTCGAAGCTGCAGGGTGTCTGGCTCTAATGGAGGAACACCATGCCAGGGGGACTTGGCGGGAGAGTGAGCCTTCAGCTCACAGAAGTCAGAGCAGGGTCCTTAGAGAAGATGACAGTTTGACTGGGCCCGAAGAACAGTCAAGAATTGGATGTGCTGAGATGAAAGAGGGGCGGGGAATGATGTAAGCAAAAGCACAAAGTGACAGAGGCTATCGATGTGACAGAAACAGCTGACAGTCCACTTTAGCTGAAACACGGTGGATGGTTGAGGGCGGGGGAAAGGAGCCAGGCTGGGGCTAGATGGTGGATATGGTGGATGGACAGGGCAGGCTTAGAATGTCAAGTTGAGCACTGGAGGTGCTTGACCTGGAGAGGGCCATGATCGGTGGTGTGGGAGCCAGTGGGACGTGGGGATAGTGTATGTGTGTATCTAGATTTGGTAACCCAAGGCATCATTATGAAACATCTTGAACATCTATGTGCCCATTTTAGAAATACATTTTTTCCTTCTCCATGTGGTGGTCAAGAGTGTTTCTGGAATCAGACACAACTAAGTTCAAGCCTGGGCTCTGTCACTTAAAATCTGGGTGAAAAATGACATAACCTCTCTGAGCCTCAGTTTCCTTTGTATCCAAAATAAAGACATAAAACCTGCTCAAGGATGTGGTGAGGATAAAGTGAGGTGTGTCTGTAAAGCATTAGTAGAATCCTGGTGCATAGTGAGTGGTCAATACATTCTATTGGTCCCCAGGTACCTGCCTGGTAACCATCCCAGCCTCCCCCCTCCACCCCGTGCCAGCCTGTTCTTCTAGGTCTGGGGGTTGTTTGGGACAGCTCCCCACCCTCACCAAAGGCTCTGAGTTATCATCACTGTCTCTGTGCGTTGTGAACAGCTCTGGGGAAGAGTCATTTGTGGGGACCTGTCTACCACCTGTGCCCGTGGCACCAGACACGGTGGGATGGGAGCCTGTAGCAGCAGCTGTAGGAAGTGTTAAGTTGGCAGGGCCTGAGGAAACAGCGAGCCCCCAGCCCTCGCCCCCTCCCCGAGGACCCCAGCCGGCCTTTGTGCCCAATCCACCCGTGTGCAGCCCGGTGGTGGGTACAGCTGGTTGATCTGACCCTGAGCCATCTTCCCTGCTGTCCGCTTCTCACTTCTTGTGGTGCGAGAACCCCGCTCCTTGTCTCCTGCCTCCCCCAGGCCCAGAAAGACTCCTGGAGAGGTGACATGTGGCTGTCTTCTGTTTGAAGATTCTGGGCCCACTAAGAGGACAGCCTCTCAGCCCCCACCTCCTGACCTTCCTCTTCCTTGCACTCTTTCTCTTCCCTTCCTGTCCAGTCTCCACTTTCTCCTTGCTGTCTGTGCTTAAAATAAAGCCACATAGTACCCGTCATGCTTGTCAATCCTTGTTGTTCATTATTTCAGACCTGGAGGGGGAGGGGGACCTCCAGGAGGCCATTCGACGTGGCAGGGACTACTAGGGTTATGCCAGCTATTTATTCTTAGATGTGCTTAGGGCTGGGAACATTGAGGAGGGGTGCTCTGATGGCTCAGGGGTGCTTGAGGTAATTCTCAAGTGCTAGAAAGTGTTTGGCACAGTGTTGGCTCATAGCAGGCACTGAGCAATGCTAAGAGAATAAATGAGTCCATTTCTAAGGTTTCCAATTTCCCATAGGCCCCCCAATAGAATTGCTTATATCATCTAAATTGTTGCAAATTAATGTGTTAGAGAGGATACAAATTTATTATATATTCTAATCAAAGTATAAATTGTTACTACGACTTTGGCAAATAATTTTTTTTGTGTTGTAACTGTTGAATATTTGACCATCCTGTGACCCAGGAATTCCATTCCTAGATGTATATAAAAATGAAATTCTCACATATGCGCATCAGGAGACATTTAGAAAGATGTCCATAGCACCAGCTTTGTAAGAAGAAAATACAATTACATCAGGTGTGGTATAGTCACTTATTAGAACACAGTGGATCCTAGTGGAGAAACCCTGGTTACATAACATTAAAAAAAAAAAAAAAAGCAAGTCCATTTTTATAAAAAATAAACAAAAACCAAGAAAAAATATTTTTAGGTATATGCATGTGTGTGGTAAAACTAAACAAAATCAGGGAATGATGACACAAACTGAAGGTGGTGTGTAGGTAGACATAAATTATTAGTAATGTTTTGGCCCTTGTGTTGGTAAGTGGGTTCATGGCCATTTAATTTTTATTATATTATTAAATAAGCAATAAAGTCAATATGCTATTTATAAAAAATTAACCTAAAATGTGAGTCCATAAATGGAAAGTGAAAGAACATGTAGGAGTAATTTTCATGAAATTTATTTTGTTTTAGGTGCATGACTCTGTATGTAGGTACTGATTCATGATATACAATAGTTTTCTTATTTTGAGTTGCAGTTAAGAAAAAGTTTGATAGGACCTTAAAGAACATCTTGCTGAAGTACACCAGTAGATATGTAACAAAAAGTTCATAGCAGCATTGTTTGTTATAACAAAAACAAAATGTACATATGCATACCCACAGGAGAATGGAAAATTAGTCACACATTGGAATACTATACAGTACCGAAAAGGAACAAATGGATGAATTTCACAAATAAGATGTCGAAGAGGAAAAAGCAAGTTATAGAATACAGAGTAATTTTATTTATATAAAGCATAAAAGTAGGCAAAACTAAAGGATTGCTTAGAGGTTCCTTCACACATGATAAAATAATAAAGAAAAGCAAGAGAACACTTAACACAAACACCCAGGATAATGATTACTTTGGAGATTAGATGGGGACAGGGATGAAGGATGCTGTGATAAGTAAGGGTCCCACAGGGGGTTTTAAAGGTACTAGTAGGTACAAAAGGATTTGTTTTACTACTGTTGCGTTTAAATTATTAAATGTATGTTATATATACTCTTTTGTATGCATGAGAAATTTATAAACAAAAAGAAATGCCAATAGCAGCTTGTGCTCTCTAGTCCTCTGGTTACTTCTTCAGTTTAGAGTCATCACCCAGATGGTCTGCTCATCTTCACACATTTCTCCCACCTGAATTACCACCCCCTCCCTTCCTTCAAGACCCTTCCAGCCCAGGGACCTCCGCTTTTCCATCTAAGCTCACAGAACGGCCGTTGTACTCCATGTCAGAACTCTGCAACTGTAACAAGGTGAGGTCACAAAGCCCCCAGGTAGGAGAGACTCTGTCTTCAGAGGTGAGGATTCTGGGAGTTCCTTGGGTTGGAGCTTGGCTTAGTGCTCACTGGAGGCTTGGAGGAGACTACAGCTCGGTTCATCATGGTGAGTCTTGTCCACACAGCTCTTAGGCTCACATGGGATGAAGTGTCATGGACTTCACCCAGATTTGGGACAAGTTTGTGTGCTGTGTCTACAGCTTTGGGGGATGGGAGCCGGAAAGGGTGGAAGGTGGGTGGGAATAAGGCAGACAGTGGTGGGAGATAATGTTTTTCAGTCTATTCATATCTGTGGCCCACACCTCATTTTCCCTAGAAAGAAATTTGCACTGAGCTGATGTGAACGGTTCCTATTTTTTGGGTTGAAGGGGGTGTGTGACTTTATCTGTTCCTCAGAGTGTAGAGCGAAGAGCATGGGCTTTGATTTGATCTGGCTCAGCTGTTGACTGGCTGGTTCACTCATGCCCCTCTGGGTCTCCACCTCCTTGTGTGATAGATGTTATGAGCATCAACTTGTCCATTGAGCATACAGTGGAGACCGTAACATCTACCTGGCCGACTTCACAGCTGGTCATGGGCCCAGGGAGATGGTGGAGGTAAAAGACTTTGAAGAGTGAAAGGCACTATGCTAGTGGCACGGACTGTGCGGGGGCTGTTTATGTACTGGTGTGTGGAGACAACGTGCAGGGAAGGAAAAGGCCACGGTTTTGCCCCTTGTAGACTGCCCTCCCATCCAGATTCCAGCTCCTTCCCTGGGGTTTGCAGAGGGAGCTGGAATCTGGATCCGTCTCTGATGAATAACATCAATCAAGTTAATGACGTTTATTCATATACTTAGTTTTTAAAAAGTATTTTTAAAATTAGAAATTATTGAATTTTGTTAAGTGCTTTTTGTATTAATTTAGATGATACAAGTGGTGAAGGACAATTGATTCCCTTATTCCCTGGGGTAAACCCTACATGTTCTCAGTCCAGACTCAATTCAGTAGATTGTTGCCCTGCATTGCTGCCTTTTGTCCCTGAGTTCATGCTGCCTTCGGCATCTGAAGGCCTGGTGGGACACCCACCGCTGTGCCCGCCAAGCTCATTTCATTCTTCCAGTGACCCTTGGGGATCGGGAGTATAATCATCCCTATTTTACAGATGGAGAAGCAGAGGCCCAGAGCAGCCAGATGCTCTGCCAGTGTCGGCAGGTGGATGGGTGGGTACTGGAATTGTTTTGCTGGCCTCAGTCAGGTGCCCTTATTTACTCTCCTCATCTCCCTGATCCTCCCCTTACTCTGCTGCCCCCACCCGCAGTGTGAGGAGATAAAGGTGCCGGTGCAGACACACACGCAGAGCCTGAGGCACAGCAAGGAAGAGCTGGACAGGCGTAACCAGGCCATCCAGCGGCTGACTGTGGAGGTGGACAGTGCCAAGAGTCAGGTGAGGTGGGAGTGGGGGTGGCAGAGTGTGATGGTAGTGGTGAGTCCGCGATTTATGACAACTGGACTAGCTCCCCTCGCCCTTTGGAAGAGAGTTTCTCTTTGTGGATGTCTGAGCAAACAGGAGTGTGGCTGTATGTGTTTGTCCTGCTCACACTTGCCTGTAGTCCATGTGGGTGACTAACATGTAGGTAAATATGTATGCATATGTATGCTTGTTTGTAGATCATTTTTTATGTGTATGTACATTTTTATGTCTGTGTGTTTTGTTTGTCCTACATAGCATTAAATTTGAGCTCATCTTTGGAAACTGCAAGATTTTACCTACAAATCCAGTTTTCTGGGTTCTCTTTAGAAATGGGTGGATCTGGTGATATTAAACTATGATTCCACGTGATGACATTTGGCTAGAGAAGAGAGACCTCTGTCTTCTTCACATGGGGACATGCTCCTTTGTGGGCCACAGCCCCACCACCCCAGATTGCCTCCTTTGACACCGAGGCAGAGGGTCACTGTTATTACCCCTGTGGGAGAGAAGCTGTGTGTCTGTCTAAAGTGGAGAAATGAAAGACCAGAAACGTGAAAGCGGTCCCGGTGATTTCAGGACAATGAGAGCATGCATATTTCCCTGTGGAACTGGACACTGTTGTACATAGTTAACATTTGACCTTTACCTTTGATGCCTCCAGCCAGGCCTCTGTAGGCATTTGTGTCTGTGACTCAGACTTTAGGTCTTATAAAGGAGAGGTTCCCACATGAAGAGTTTCTTTCTCCTGGCTTCTCTCCCTGTGAACCTCCTCTCTTTTCTGCCAGCCCTCTCTCTGTCAAGCCCTCCCGGCTCACGCTCCACACCGCAGAGGGGAGGGGTGCTGCTTTGGTCTTTTCTTGTTCTCTGCAGAGACAAGTGTCCCAGGCTCTGAGGGAGATTCTGCCTTCTCCAGGAACAGATGACTCTGAGGGGGGACAAGCTGTTCAGTCTGTAGGGGTGCAGAGTGAGAGGGTAGGCACATTGGATTCAGTCTCCCCCCAGCCACAGCTCTGATCCCCCGTTGGTTTCCTAATCAGCAAGCACACCTCACCAAGGCAGCAGTTATTGTTGTTATTTTCCCCCAAAGTCTTTTATGAGGATAGGATAGCCTTCTTGTTAGTTTCCCAGATAAAACAATAATCTCAGCATTATGTACTAAGGAGCATTTGATGCTTCTCTTGGGTTTGGTGACATTAGAAGTGTCACCGTACTGATGTGAAAGGCTTTCTCTTAGCCATCCCTGATGGTTGGCCCCAAATCTCCATCCTGGTAACAGGGCACACACACACGCACACACACGCATGTTTCAGAACAGGCACGCTCACTCCACACAACAATCTGTAATCCTCATTGGTCCTCCAGCCTTTGAAAAAGGTCTGGATCATTGAGGAGAATGGGGTGGGGACCAAGGATGTCCTTTGGTTCGTGGTCTTCCCTTTACTTCCAGCCCTGTGAACTAGAGGGAGCCCAGAACCTGCCAGCTCTGCAGGAGGAGGGTGCCTCGGGCAGTGCCAAGGGCAAGCTGGCCTGGCTGGAGGCCGCCCTGCAGCGGGCTAAGCAGGACATGGTGCGGCAGCTGCGGGAGTACCAGGAGCTCATGATCGTCAAGCTGGGCCTGGACTTTGAGATCGCCACTTACCGCAAGCTGCTGGAGGGTGAGGAGAGCAGGTAAGGGTTGGGCAGTGCTTCAGCTACAGCATGGGGCATGGGTGGGGGTGAGGGGTCACCACCTGGGCCCTTAGCAGCTGGGGACGGGCTAGGGAAAGGTGACCTGAGTATCCAGGGACTGTTTTCCTGGAGGCAATTTGTTCCCACTATTCAACAGCTCTTTAGACGAAAGGCCCCAGCCAATGAGCACCATAGTACCTGGGTTAGGGCAACTCATAAAGTTATTCATCCCCTGGACCAGAGAACAGGGGCTGGTTTGTCCATCACGACAGCTCAAGGCCTGGCCAGGGGGAATAATATGGAATGCCGTCTCAGTTCTGCCCATCTTCCTGGGACCTGGGGAAGGCATGGTTTGTGGGAACAAGGAGGGTCTGGCTTTTACTCTTAGACAGCAGTTAGGGACTCAAGGGCTGCCAGCCCCATCCAGCTGGGGACACCAGACTGAGGGGAGGGAGAGGGAATTCTCCATGCAGGCACGCTACATTTATTATCTCTTTTAAACCCACACACATCCTGGAAAGGATGCTTTCATCCCCATTTCGCAGACGAGGAAACTGTGTCTCAGAGAGGGCAAAAGGACCTCCTCCAGGATGGAAACGGATTAAGTGAGGCTAGAACAATATTCTTCAGATAGTTGAGGTGTCTTCTCTGAGGTCGCCTCTAAAATGCACCCCCACCCATGGTCTCCCCTTTCCATATGTTTAGGCCTAAAAGTGTGTAGATCTTTTGCCTTCTCCCTCTTCCAAGAAGTCATCAATAAAAATGAGTTATTTAAATTTAAGGCGGGACGGATTGAATTTAAAGGTTCCAAAGGAGCCTTTACTCAAAAGGGCTGTGAGGATGTGAGAGAACCAAGGAGCTTGCAGAATGAAATGAGTTCTACCTTTCTGGAGAGGGCCAGGAGTGTTCTGTCTTGGAGAAAGGGGACTATTACACCTAGGAGACAGATCCACTTACCTGTTTCCTGCTCCTCCCTGCAGGCTTGGCCTGAGACTGGGGACAGGCAGCCTCAGTAAGTAAATAATACATATAGCTTGGGTTGGAGGGGCCAAATCTTATCCCCTCCCCCCTTTATCGTGCGTCTTCGTGGGAAGGGAGAAGGGATCTGCTGTCTGTGTGTCTCCCATGGCCAGGGGCTGTTTCTTCTCTTGGGGGTGAGTCTGTGTGTGTGCTGGGGGACGGGATCCTGTGGTCTGTTCTTTGTGGGGAGGTTCCTGTTGGTTTTGCCTGGGGTGTGGAAGGAAGTCATGTGGGTTTATCAGATTAACAGTGGACGAGACTTTTTTATTCTTAGGTTGGAGGAATCTGTCTGACTTCAGGGAGGGAGGGATTTTCAAGTCTGTGTATCTATTACTTCGGGGAGTTTGGACGTCTGACTCCTGGTGGGGAGGAGGGCCTGTGCATTGCTTCCTGGAAGAGCTGTCTGTCTGTCTGTCTCCTGAGGCGGAGGGCGGGAAGGGGGTTTCCTCTAACAGCCATTCTCTGCTTAGCCCAAGACCGCGATCCCACCTGCCGGCCGGGCTCGGCCTCGGGCCCCGCCCACGCCCTCCTGCTGCCGCCCGGAGCCGGCTCCGACGCCCGGGAGACGAGCGCCCCTGGAGGCGGCTGCGCGCTCTGCGGCTCCTCCTGCGGTGCAGGGGAATTCGGCTGCAGAGGCTTCGGCGGCGGATGTTGAACACTTCCTGCCCAGCTCAAAGAACACAAATTTTGCCCCAAAGACTTGGTCTTCTGTCTCAGACGTCCCTACCATGGATCTCACCTCACCTCTCCCTCGTGTCCCTCCCCCGGGAGCATAAAGTCTCGCGATGTTGTTTTGCCCCCCTGAACTGCCCCTACCCCTCTTTTCTTGGGACTCTTCCTTTGCAATAAAATATTGTGCAGTGGACTGAGCCGCCAGGTTGCTTGCACCTAGATTCCTCAGGCTATTCCCAGAATGAAGACAAAGCTGGACAGATAGGGGGTCGCGGCACTACCAGGAGCAACCATTCTAGCTTGGGGCCCACAGTCAGTTCTTGGGGCCCACAGTCAGCAGAGGAGCTGAGAAGTGCATCCATTCATCCACTTGCCGCTACAGACACTGAATGGCCTCCGAGGTCAGACACAGTGTGTGGTGAGCAAGATGACACTCTAGCCCTGGCGCTCGAGGTGACATTCTGGTCGGGAGGCAGGCCCTACATAAGGAAACAGACCAGAAAGAGAATGGAGTGGGGTAGGGATAAGGCTAGCCTTCTGTGCCCAGGAAGGGCACTTGAGGACAGGCGCCAGGGCAGATGGCCCTCCCAGACTGGGATATAAACACAACTGGGTGGTTCTGACCTGAGTTCTAGTTTAGCAAGTGATCCGAGGGCAGGCTGGGAACAACATACTATGGTGGAGGAAAGCATGTCTTAGGAATCAGACCAAAGTTCCAGCTCTGCCTCTACTCCAGGTCTATGGTGTAGATTGGTTTGAGTTTCACAAGGTAATTGGACTTTAGGGAGCAGAAGATAGGCCAGTTTGGGGGATGGGGTGGCCAGTGAAGGATTGGATTTCTGAGCTCTTTCCTTGCCACACACAGCCTGAGAGATGCCTCCGTCTACTAAGCTCATATTCTTTTCTATTGCACAAAGGTTTACATCATCAAGGCCTCTGGAACAAAGGTATCTGCTTTCTAAGTTCCTGGGTAGGGCTAAGGCGCGTCATTGGCCAGAGGCTCTGGCTTTACCTTTTAAGGCATGCGAGTGCCGGGGAGTCTGCTGTGTTTTCTGGGTCCCTGCCTGGAGGTATCAAAAGGTTCCCTTCCTGGGCAGAAGAGCAATCTCATGCTAGAGGAATGGGATGGAAGCTTGGCTGGCAGGCTGCCACCCAGTTGAAGGGTTGGGGACATGGCTCCACCGGACTCCTGTATCAGCTCCATTGGATCCATACTGACCAACACCTGCTATATAAACATGCTTACCAACACTCCAGTGCAAAGCAGCTCTTGAAAGCAGAGCTTGCCCTTCTGCAAGGTTGTTTTTGGGTTGGGCATTTTGCTAGGTAATGATAATTCTGTGATTTTCAAGGTTAGGTTTTCCCTGCTCCTGCTGCACTGATCATTTGTGGGAAGCACAGAAGGAAATATCCCAGGAGCTGTAGGCAGGATTTCTGATGAGCCTTCTGCAGCCCATATCACAGAGGACTGCTGTTGCCTGTATTTTTTGTTTCTAAATCCCAAGCCTGACGTCAGTGCAACAGATTCCAGGGGCTGTGAGGAAGGTTTGAGTCTTGCTGAGCCAGGGCCACGCGGGCCACCAAGCAATGTTTGCAGTTTGGGGACTGATTCTCTCAGTGCCCGGCTCCCCCCCCCCGGCCATCGACCACATTCCAGGTTGGGGTGGGAGAGAACCACCTGGTATATTTATGGAGAGTCATTCACCATCCCATTTATAAATTTTATGAGTTGGGTGACTTCTGAAGGGAGGAGAATTGTCACTAGTGCAGTCATTGCTTCGGGGATGTCAAGGGGTCAGCCCTCTGTTGGCTGCTGATGCCTGTATCACACTTAATTACACTTAAATATGTCGGATACAACTTAGCTGTGTTAGTGTCTCTATTTGTGCCTCAGGTCTGGACTCCTGACAAGGCCTGTTCTGAGCTGTGTGGTGTCACAGCACAGAGGGCTGGTTAGGACAGGCACGCACTCTGAAACTCTCCCAGGTCTCTGTCCTGCTCAGAATTCCATCCGGGGAGTGCAGGGGCCCCATGGGTGGCTAGGATACCTGGGATTGATACTATCCCTTATAAGAATCTTTCTGTTTTCAGAGCACTCGCTTCTGGTCTTTCAATACTTATTAATAATTATTTCTGTTGCCTTGAGGGATGGGGTGGGGGTTAACATTTTTGCTACAGTTTTCTAGGCCTGGGACTAGAAATTTAGAGATTCAGTCTGCCATACAGGTGTATGTTTAGAGACTCACTTTGGTCCATAGTGAAGCTAAGGGCCATCTCCCCCCTCTCATCACCACTTGGAAGGTCCTCATCTGTGTCAGAGTGGGGTCGAGGAGGGGGACATATCCCTGAATGAAGGGGCTCAATAACTTTGGAAGACATGGAGATTTCTCTCTGCACTTGTAATGTCTGATCACAGATGTAAGTGTAAATAGAGGCTGGCCATGGCCCTGATCCTCCGAGAGGTGACAACTTTACATTCTGAAAAAAAGATAATACTAATGATAAACATACATCATGATTATTTTGTGCCAGACACTGTCTAAGCATGTTACATATATGAGATTCTGTAATCCTCCCATCAACCCTGAGGTAGGTGCTCTTTTTTCTCACTAGAGATGTGGAAACAGGCAGAGAGAGGGTAAGTAAATTGTCCAAGGTCACCCAGCAAGGAAGGAATAGAGCCCAGTTTTGGGCCCAGGCAGTCTGGCCCCCCAGAGGCGGTGTGCTCACCTCCCTGCCACTTCATCTTGTTAGGTGCTGTTTTCTGTTTTTGATACAATTTATCAGTGATAGCAGGTCTCCTAACCACAGAGGGACTCAAGTTTTTTCAAAGTCACCATATCAAAGGCTTTTAGGAAGTTTAAATCATGTCCAGGTATTTATCATTTAAAGAATTATTTCTTTTTTTTGTTAATTCTCACCCGAGGATATTTTTCAATTGAATTTTAAACAGAGTGGAAGGGGGGAGGGAGGGAGAAACAGCGAAGTGAGAGAGACACATTGATTGATTGTCTCTAGCACGACCCAGACCAGGGCCCAGGATGGAACCTGCGACCCAGGTAAATGCCCTTGACCTGAATTGAACCCATGACTCTTTGTTCTAAGTGCTGACGCTCTAACCACTGAGCCAAATCAGCCAGGGCTATCCCTTAAAGAATTCTAATAAATTACTCAGCCATGAGTCTTCCCCACCACAGCAATGAGTGATTTTCCTCAAGCTATGAGTGACTGGAGAATCTAATTTTCATTCTCCATCAGTTTATAGGGGTGCACAGGGGTGTTTTCTGGGAGGTAGCTGTGGTTTGGTGAAATCACTAGAGATGCACATGGTTCAAACCCCAGCTGTACCACTGAACTCGGCATGGGGCCCAATTACTGAGCGTCTCTGAGCTCTGGTTTCTTCATTTTCAAGATGCATCATAAAAGGTGGATAAAATCAATAAGGTTGTGTGAATAAAACTACATTGTGTGGGGCCCCAGGACAACCCTTGACAAATCTGAGACTGCTGTGAGCCCAGGGATGGAGGACTATACTGGAGACCCCAGACTAGGCCTTTTTCTGCTCCTTGTGACTTTTGAGACCCTCCCAAACCCCAACCCTTGAGGATAATACAGGTGAAGACAAGGCCCCGGGTTGGCTGTATTGATTTATTGGCAACAGATCAAGACAGAGATGAACGGAGGAGGAAGGGAAGAGGCTGGGGGACTCTGGCCACTGCCCCATGGCAATCCGAGGTAGGGTCCTGGTCCCGGTCCTTCCTGCCCTGGAGCCTCCTTCCTGGGGGCACCAAGGGGACTTCTTTCTGGGGTAGCCTTCCCCAGCATGGGATAGGGTGGGAAACGGTGGAGGGGGGCAGAGGCAAGGAAGAAGGGATCACAGAAACACATAAGAGTCTAGAAGCAGGATGAACCTTTCAAAGTGCGGGAGAAGTAATCCAACACTTACTCCCCGCCTGGGCTGGACCAGGCCTTGCTGGGCAGGAGAAACGTCAGTTGGGGCGCCTAACATTTGCGGCAGCTGCTGACACAGGAGCCCACGCCGCAGGAACTGATGCCGCAGGAGCCCACACCACCGGCGCCCAGACCACAAGAGGTGATGGAATTGCAGGGGCCGCAGGGCGCGCAGGGAGCACACATTCCGGTGTTCACTGCCAGGTTCCCACTGCAGGGGGCGCTGCAGGCGCTGCCTGTCACTGGCCTGGAGCCCGACACACAGAGGTCCCCACAGACGACTCCGCCCCGGGAGCTACTGACACCTGTGAACCCCAAAGCCTGAGTCAAAATTCTGACGGCAAGTTATCCTGTCCCTGAGCATGCTCCTCCCCAAATATCTCTACTTGACAACTCTGGGTCCATCTGGGCCCACAGCTGTGGTCTTTCCTGCTGTTTGATGCCAAGCCCCTCCTGCTGGGATGCCAGCCCTGCCTTTAATATTTAGTCGCAGAGAAATCTCTCCTTCTAGACCTGCCATCCTCACAGGAAGAGAGTAAATCCACCCGCACAGGGCCTGTGTTACTTACAGACATTCACTGCTCCAACACCTTCACACAGTCTGAGAAGAAAGAAGAAAAAGGGCAGTATTAGTGACTCGGCCAGAGTGGCAGACAGACCTCCACAAATTTTGGGGGTGAATCCACAAGTCAAGAAGGGAGGAGCAGAGATCTGAGGGAAGAGGCCTCCCAAATTGACCCCACCCCAACAGTGATGAATGACAGATTTATCCCAGACTCCTGGCCCTTGCTCAGCCAGGAAAAAGGGTGGCCTTTGTATATGGGGCAGATAGAGTAGCTCAGCCAGGTAGAGTTCCCACCTGTGCTCCTCGCCCTCCAGCAGGCGCCTGTAGGTGGCGATCTCGATGTCCAGGCCCAGCTTGGAGTTCATCACCTCTTGGTACTCCTTGAGCAGGCAGGCCATGTCCTGCTTGGCCTTCTGCAGGGCAGCCTCCAGCTCAGCCAGCTTGCAGCGGGCATCGCTGACGGCCGT